GCTGCCATCCGTGTAGCCCAACAGCGTGCCCCTTGCGTTGACAGAAACTGGGCCTGCCATGTGGGCTAACGGCACGAGAGTTGGGCATTTTGCGTTCAGAGCCGGCTCCTGCTTGCCGCTGTCCACTATGAGACCGTGCTGCTGGACGTACCTTTGGTTAGTAGGGAATGGAGGAATGGGGTACAATTATAACTACGATTACTACCATTCTTCCATTCCCTACTAACCAAAGGTAAGTCTAATCGCTGCAAGTGCGGTTCCAAGGCCGGGTTTGGATCGTAGGGCGGCTCGTTACGGAAACATGCTCACCCTGACACCATAAACACCTTAAGCCCTAACATTGGGGGGCCGTGATTGCGGTTCTGCATGGATGTACTGGGTGTATTGCGTGAGTTACAGTGTAGCAGCGGGACGACTACTTCCCAACTAAGTTCAGGCCTCTACCCATGTAGGCTCCATACTAGTTCCTTTTTGGAATTACCTTATACGGATCTAAATCTGAAGCCCCAAAAGGATCTACTATGGACTATGGGTACATTCAACACCTCGGCTCAAGGCACGTCTGCAACACGTAAACGTCAATCCCGAACCCTAAACCCTAAATCCTAAGCTAGAGCCTAAATCCTCAGCCCCCAAACGCGGTTTAGGGTTTAGGGACCCTAAACCCTAAACCCTACACCAAACCCTGCTGCCTCAACCCCAAACCCCTAAACCCCAAACCCCAAAAACCCTAAAACCCCTAAACCCTATACCCCAAACCCTGGCTCCTCCATCCCAAGCGCTTGACGACTTCTTTTCGCTACTCACTACTGCAAAGGGCCCAGGGGCCCAGATTGCAGATGACCGGTTTTAGTGTTTAGGGTTTTTAGGGTTTAGGGTTTAGGGTTTGGGTAATTTACAGGCGCTTAACCCTAGACCCTAAAGCCTAAGCCCCATAACAGTTCAAACCATGAAAAAGCCAGTTTTCTCAATGCTCAGCCCCGATCCATGTCGCCCTCTGCGAGGGGAAGCACCTGACGTCTCCCCAGAGTTTGGGGCTTATACGGTCCTAAGCCTTCAACCCTAAAGTCTACATCCTAACCCGACATATAGAGCCCTAAGCCTAAACCACAAAAGCCCTAAACCCTATTCGATCAGCCCCCATCCTAATTAAACCTTATCAGCCCAACATCCTCGAACCGAAGAGCCCTGAACCCTGGAGGTGCAGGTATTAGTGTTTCGTTGGGGACCAGGAAGGGGGTTTAATCTTGCGAGGCTTTGGAGCTACTGCGTAAGGGTGCCTGCACTGAGGACCCCACCACAAGAACATCAAGTGCGGCGGCGATGTTGCATTCGAACGATATGTACACACAAACCTTCTGCCAATGGGGGTCCTGAAAAGACAGTGCCACGACTTTAGAGGGTACCCCTAATCGAGAGAACTGTGCATATTCATTGGGGATATGAGGGATAATTAGAATGGTTGGGGCTGCTGGGTGCTTTAATAGACATCGAGTTATAGGGTTTTACAAGCTTCAAGAGGCTTGCATAGGCTTTGCATAAGGAAGACACGGACAAATTGCAGACGGATGCTTCATGCATCTGGAGCATGTGCCTCCATTATCAAAAGGGCTTTGGATGGCTTTGGGATCTCTGGAAGGTAAGCTTTCATTATTGTAAGGAGCACGGAGGCACCAGATCCTGAACCTTCCAACTGCGTTTGTGCCAAGAGCCCACCTTGCGCCTGTACCTGAAGCCCTCTGAAAGGCCCCAAAGATTCAGACCGACACCCAAGAATAGCATTCAACACTGTCAGGGTCCCGCTGGCCTACTAAAACCTAAACCCCAAACCCTAAAGCCTAAACCCTAAAGCCTAGAGCCTAAACCCACTAAACCCCTAAACCCCGAAACCCCAACCCCTAAACCCGTAAAGCCCCAAAGCCCGAAACGCCTGAAGCCCCAAAGCTCTAAACCCCTAAACCCCTAAAGCCCTGAACCTAAACCCCTAAACCACTGAAGCCCTGAATCTGAACCCCAAACAACTCTCAAACCCCCAACCCCCTGAAAAAAAGCCCTAAACCCTAAGGAAGCCTTTCAAGAACCCTAAAGCCCTACCGAAGAAAACACGCCAAAACCCTAAACCCCTAAACGCCTCAAAAACCCAGAACCACAAAGCCCTCTAAGGAAGCCCCAATCTCCTAAACCCTAAGGAAGCCTTTCAAAAACACCCTGAAGCCCTATGTAACCCCCCCCCAACCCTATAAAACCCCACTAAGGAGGGAACCATATAAAAGCCCCCCCCTAAACTCTAAACCCCTAAACCTAAACCCTAAAACCACACTAAGGAGGGAACGACCATTGGGAGGCAACTCCGGTTTTCCACGAAGATGGTGGAGCTTATTTCAACTTCAGAGCGGACCTGCACAGGGTTTAAAGGGTAGGGTTTAGGGTTCAGGGCTTTGGGCTTGGAGACCGGTTAAGGTTTGAGGGTTTAGGAACTAAGGGTCTTAGTTGCTGAGTTCAAGGGTTTCAGGGTTTGAATTAGGGTTTTGGGGACTCGGGATGGCTTAGGGTTCGAGGATGCCCAGTAATCTAGGAATTAAAAAGAGCTCCCTTCTTGCCATTGGGTAACTTAAAAAGGAACCTTGAACTACAAAAAGGGAATAAGGGTACTACTGGGCATCCGAGGGTTTTCAGGGTTTAAGGCTTTAGGTTTTAAGGTGCGCAGTTTAGACCCTAAACCCTAAACAGTTTAGGGTCTACTGTAGTGCGTAGGGTTTAGTAGTTTAGAGCTTACGGCTTCTCTTGAGGGCTCCTTTCCTTAAGGACGGAATGAACCCCTAAAGGGTTTCAGGTTCATATACCATATAGGGATTCATAGTATATGGGTATAGGGCCCTATACTTTTAAGGGTCATTTGGTCCTTCAGGCTAGGCAAGGGGCACAGGTTTGATGGGTCTTAGGGTTTAGGGTTTTGGTGGTTGAGGATGCTTTAGGGTTTTGGGCTGTAAGGCATGCTTGAAGGGCTTTAGGGCTTGAAGGGTGTAGGGCAGGGTTTTGGGGTTGGGGATGGCTTAGGGTTTGGGGTTTTAGGGCTAAGGGTTGTAGGATTTTGGGCTTTGGGTACCCAACCGTAGGCTAATTATGAAGGCCACAAGATCTACTCATGTTAGAAGGCAAGAAACAAACTAAATAAAGCAACCAAGAGCTCAGAGCAACCCCTCTGAAGATCAGAAGCCGCGATGCAGTGTGGTGCTATAGTGTACTTGCCTCGGGCTAAAATGAAGGCCGTTAAAAGCCTCCGCAGACACCGCCTCCCCAAAAGCGAGATACCCAGGGCCCTGAACCTCACCTGCGGAGCCACCTTCATAAGCAATACTCAGTGCTTCCTTAAGCTCTCTGGTTATGACAAGACTCCTATGATTCTGGGCTTGGAGAATGAATGGTTTGTAGGTCCACTTAGACGAGAAACGAAAACCTGAATAATTAAAGGTCCTGTAAGCTAAATAGTATAATGGACTCTCTGAATCCCCTAAACCCTAAACCCTAAACCCTAAACCCTAAACCCTAAACCTGAACATCGGCACCCCCGGCAGACCCTAACCAAAGCTTAAGCCCTATAAGCTCCCGTAGAGTTTAGCCCTCCCTAGACGCCCAATGTGCACAGAACGGAGCCCTTTCACAACTTAATTACTTTGGGCAAAATCATGGAAAGAGTTGAGAGCAATTCTCTCAGTAAAGGGGAAGTAGGTTTAGCTTATTCGCCAAGCCCCAACCCTGAAAACTACAGTGGCCTTAACCTCGAAGGCTTGACCCAGAAGTCCCTAAACCCTAACCCCCTAAACCCTAAACAGCTTAGAGTTCAAGGTTTAGGGTGTAGGGTTCAGGCTTTAGGGTAAAGCCCTAAGAGGAGATCTCGGCTGTTACCCAACTGGCACCTCAGAGTCCTTCCGCATAGGCGTCGCCTGACCGCTTTCTGGGTTTAGATTTCAGGGCGTTTAGGATGCCTGCTTGGAGGTTCAGGGTAGCTATAAGTGGGGTTATAAGTCCCTAATATGGGTTATTATCAGTATAGTTACCCAAATCATAAGCCTACTTATAACTACCCATGAACCTCCAAGGACGGCTTTCACTGAGCAGGGTTTATCTGCTTTAACGGACCGGCTCAGCATAAGCAAAGTCCATCTTGCGGTGTCTTCATACATATATAACCCTAAGGGTCCACGTACCCAAATAGTATATACTTTGGCCCCAATGTACCTATTTAGGAAGTACTTAAAGGCCAAAGTATATACTACTTGGGTACATGGACCCTTAGGGTAATTATATAAATATATACACAGGAAGCTAAAGGTAGGGCGTTGTCTAAGCAATCTCCTAAAGTCCTGCAACATTTAGATACAGCTCTTGAGTACAGTGTATGTGCAAGCCGGTTGACACCCGTGTCAAATGGAGCAAGGCCAATTGATTTTATTTTTGGGTGGGAGATGTTGAGGGGGGAATGTAACCTTCCACGCTAAATGCTGTGATACCTCCTCCTTGGAACCCTGATCCTGCAAACCGAACCGCAACTCCAAACTCGTTCAACGTTCAAAGCACCTCACATCAGTGAACTGGCGACCCTTAACCCCCAGTTGATGGTCCTTCGGGGCAGTTAAGTGAATACATCATAATACCCATGGTGTCCATTGTAGTTCCTATTGTTGGCAACAAATTTTATGATGAGGATCCTATAAGTGTAGTAGTTCCTTTATTGGATTACCTTCTAGCCTAATAAGGTAATCCAATAAAGGAACTACTACAACGGGAGACCATAGGTAAGCCTTGCCTAGCAACTGATCTCCTAAACCTCTAGGAATCTCCCCCAAGTCCTGACGCAACAGATCGGGTAGACACGCCTTTGCTCCTTTTTGTCGGCTAGGCGCTGGCACGGGGAGGGGTGCACCCGAACACTTATCTCTAGCCCCGAGCCCGTCTCCAGAGGACGGGAAAGGAGCGGGAGGAGCAATCAGCCGTCGAAGTCATCGCGTGCAGCGCTGAGAGGAGGACCGTGGGGAAGATCTGCAAGCTCCTGCGCACTTATTCTTCTGTTGGGTTTGGGGCTACAGGGCCTAGTGTAAGAAGCTAGATGTTTGTTGGGGGTGAAAGTGAAACAGTTATACTGGGACTATACGATTTAATTTGGGTTTAGGGTATAGGGGTGTCGGATTTTGGGGATCACGGGTTTGAAGCTGAACGATTGAGGTTGAGGGCCACTCCTACGTTTCCTTCAGTATGTGACCCAGGGCAAACAGGCTCTAAAACCCTGAAAACACAGGTGTTGTAGGGTCAAGGTAGGACTCAGTTTAGGTAAACCCTAACAGCCAAGTCACACTCTGCGAAAGCATAAACACGCACTGCTGAGAACATGAAAGCTCTGTTGAAGGGAATTTTGGTGGCTCCTGGTCTACACAATAGAGTCTTAAACAAAGGTTCAATACTTAGACTGGGGTTCTGGCACTCTTGAACACCAAGCATGAAGTACTCAGAGAAAACTGTTTCTACTGATTAATCTGCATCTTGCTACCGAGTCAATATTTGAACGAAAACCTTTAAACATAATGTGGAACACCTTCCCAAACCCTAAACCCTAAACATGTATACCCGACAAGCTACAGAAACTTGAGCTGAACTTCGCCAACCCCAGGGGCGCCAGCCAAAGCCCTCAAATAGGAAACCGCCAAAAGCCCTGTAACCAGGAATCCTAAGTTGCCCCTAACCCCTAAGCCCCTATACCCGAAACGCCTAACCCCTAAGCCCCTAAACCCCTAAACACGACCCTAAACCCTTAAACCGTCAAACCCCTAAACCCTAACCCCTAAACCCTAAACCCCAAACCCCTTAACCCTAAACACTAACCAGGACTCCTAAGTCGCGACACCTCTCAACGGCCGAATGTAGTTACCTTAATGTAGGACTTAGGGTTCCTGGATCTAAAGGGGTACCTTTACGGTGTTCCTGTATGGGATCTATAGGGTTTTAGGGTTTAGGGTTTATAGGTTGTAGGAACCTGACTGAAGAAACCTTGGGGGCCTTGATTAGGGTTCCTTTAAAGGGGTCTATAAGGGTTACCACAAAGGATGTATAAGGGATCTACAAGGGACTATAATAATGTAAGAACCTGGGCCTTGATTCTTGTTCCTTCTGTGAGTCCTACTCTTTTAGGGGTTATAGGCCCAGGGTTTCTTAATCAGGTTGCTACTTTACAAAACAAAGACCCAAACCCTCAACCTTAAGGGTCCATGTACCCAAATAGTATATACTTTGGCCTTAAAGTATTCCCTATATAGGTACATTGGGGCCAAAGTATATATCCTATTTGGGTACATGGACCCTTAGGGACCCAAACCCTCAAGACTCTAAAGTCCCAAAGCTCCAGGACCTCTCAACCACCCTCCCACCCGTAAAGACGCAACACTGGGAATAAACTAGACATAGACAAACTAGGATGCCCAGTATCCTAGGAATAAAAACGGCTCCCTTTTTGGTATTGGGTAGCTTTTTATAAGGAACCTAGGACTACAAAAAGGGAATACGGGTACTACTGGGCATCCTAGTACTCATACAGAGCTTCTCAGTATTCACCTAGACTCAGACACTTTACTTGAAGGCCTCCCCCCCTGAAACCTGCAAGCCCTAAACTACCCATAGGCCCCAAAGTAGTTCCTTTTTGGGATTACCTTACAGGATTCTATATATGAACCCCAAAAAGGAACTACTTTGGGGCCTTTGGGTATAGTCTGGCTATATTTATGTGAAGAAGCATGCGTGGGTTCCTTCTCGCTCCAGCTCTCGATGGCAAGGCTGCAGGCGATGTTCACCCAGCCGGGCGCTCGAGAACGAAGCGATTGGCCTGGAAAATGCTCCAAGCCAACAGGACGAAATGAACCCTAAAAGGGTTTAAGGTTTAGGGTTTAGGGTTACCTTCAGGACGAAAGGAACCCAAAAAGGGTTTCAGGTTCATATACCACATACGGATTCATAGCATATGGGCATAGAGCCCCTACTTTTAAGGGTCCTTTGGTCCTTCAGGAGCATTCCAAGAAATAGCAGTTGTTATGGGCTCGCAGAGGGGTTGTGTGAAGTTTCCGGGGGGTTTATGACGGGGTCCACCTTCATAGTTGGAACAAGGTTTCAATAAGGGCTCTTTGAAGGTTTCTGCAATGCCTCTGTATGGGTTTAGAGGCAGGGGCCTTACCTGAGCGGTGTTGATGTGGCTTCGCAGACTTTCATGAAGGACTCCGTAGCCGGCCTTATTGAGGACTTTTCCATAGCACAACACCCCCTGAAGTAACTTCGACTTAGGTTAGTCGGGGTCACTGGGGCTGGGGTTTAGGGTCCTCAATTTGAAGTTTGTAAGGCTTTCAGCAGGTTCAAGTTAGGGTACTTGGAGGTTCATGGGTAGTTAAAACTGGGGTTATAAGTCAAGTAACTATACTTATAACCCTTATGAGGGGGCTTACAACTCATTTATAACTCTCCATGAACCTCCAAGTAGTAGGCATAGGATTTACAAGGCCGCTCTCGAGTAGTCTAGGGTGCAGAGCTCAGCGATCGCTTCACTTCGTCTCTCAAGGTATGGGGTCTTTCAGAAAATTGGGGGTACCTTACTTTGATAGTAGGGGTCCTATCATTTAGGGTACTATATTAGGGACCCCTATTTTCGGAAACTCCCATAAGGGGTGTTTTGCAGAAATGGCGCAGCACTTCAGTTAGAGGCCCATTATCGGGCTATTTTGGCTCTAGCTTAAGGGCTCTTCATTTTCTGAATCTACCATATCTTTGCAGTCTTCTCGGACGGACGATCCCTATGTTTAGGGCGAGTAAGTGCAGGCTCAAACCTTCGCCCTGAGACTCTTTTCCCAACCTTCACCGCGCTCAAGCCCTACACTCTCCTGAAGGACCCAATGACCCTTAAAAGTAGGGGCCCCTGCACACACATACTATGAATCTCTGTACGGTACACGCAGCCCTTTTAGGGTTGATTTCGTCCTTAAGGCTCAGCGCAGGGAAACTGTTATTACTTGCTGAGTTCATAAGCCCCAATTCAACAATTGTACACTTTTATTTTTAGGGTGGGTAATACTATCCCAAAGAGTGTAAAGTGTATCCACTCAGCTACTAAATGTTCATGATCACGAACTCATACAGGAACACGGAAGCCTTGCCATGCAGCCGGTTCTAAGCTCCACGAAGCCCTGAAACCTGATTTATTGACAGAAAAATAAACAACAACATTTTTTAGTTAGGCCATGTAAATTGTTGACAGAAAAGCAAACAACAATAGTTTTTTATGCCCTGAAAAATTTACCGTAAACCCTAAACACTAAACAGAACACCAGCCGGGTGCCTGAACCATCGGCTCCAAGGTGACGTCGTAGTCGTCGCCAGTGAATCGCGGGCGGTACAGCAACACCTGTAACCAGGTTGGAAGGAATATTCAAGTTGGGGGGGGGGGGGGTTAGGGTTTAGGGCTTTATGGTTCAGGGGTGAATATTCAAGTTTAGGGGGGGGTTAGGGTTTAGGGGTTTAGGGTTCAGGGGTTTCTTTAGATCTTTAATCCAAAGCTGGCTATACTGCTGAGGTTCTTCCAAGAGCTCCGATCCCCGATGCCCACAGACTATAGGGTTCTGGAGGGTTGCTTATTATCATTATAGTATAGTTATAATGTACAAACCCGATTCTAATTATTAAGGCCCCTATATTAACACCCGACTATAGATCCCTTATAGAGCCCGTTGAGGATCCCTTTACAAAGGAACCCCCTTCTAATTATCAAGAAGTTATGCGGGTTACTGCTTGGAGAGTATATGGTCCTTGGGTACTTGGACCCTTAGGGTTATGTAGTGTTTAGGGTGTTTTGCTGATTCTACGGTCTGCTGCAACAAATGCCAAAACCAGTACAAAAGCTGTGTTTTGTTTAAAAGTTCCACTAACATTATGGTACGTCATTGTTGCGTCCTTCTGTCTTCGGGTCTGTGTGTGTTGTTCTCTCCTTCTTCCGCAGCGTGCAAAAACCTAAAACACTGTGACAAGTAAATAATTGCTTAACCCTAAGGGTCCATGTACCCAAACAGTATATACTTTGGCCCCAATGTACCTATTTAGGGAGTACTTTAAGGCCAAAGTATCTACTGTTGGGTACATGGACCCTTAGGGTAATGAACAATAATGCGCGGGGGGAGTCATGGGGGGAGAAGCTCTCAACCCCAAAACCCCGAACACCCTAAACCCCAAAGCACATAGGCTGAAAACCGTTGTAAAATTACGGGGGTTATGAATTATAGTACCCTTATCGATCCCTTCTAGTAACCCTTATGGACCCCTTGAAGGGGAACCCTATTCTAACTACTGAGGCCAACCCCCACCCCCTTTAAAGGAACTCTTTTCTAATTACTAAGGCCAACCCCCAAACCCCGAAAACCCCAAATCCACGAAACCCTCCATTGGAGGAGCCTACTATAGATCCCTTATAGCGCCCTTTGAAAGAACTCTCTAAACGGAACCCTGTTCTAACTCGTAACGCCCCTGTACTATTGCAATGGAGCCTACTATAGATCCCTTATAGCGCCCTTTAAGGAACTCTCTAAACGGAACCCTATTCTAATTCTTAACCCTAAACCCTAAACCACAAACCGCCCCGATATTATGGTTGGTTGTCAAAATTATGGTCCCTTTCTGGGTACCCTAAATCACAGGTGCCGTACTATGATAGGGACCCAAACAGGCACCATAATTTTGACAACCGCCCCGATATTATTGCAATGGAGCTGGGAGACGGAGCCGAGCATGACCAAGACGGCGCCGAGAATGAACATTATCATCTCGAAACTATCGGCTTCTTGCCTAGGGGTTTCGGGTTTAGAGTTTATATAGGGTTTAGGGGTTTCAGGGGTTTAGGGTTTAGAGTTTAGGGTTTAGGGTTTGGGGTTTGGACTTTAGGGTTTAGGGTTTAGAACTTAGTGTTTAGACTTTACGGTTTAGGGGTTTAGGGGTTTAGGCCTGCAAGGTCGCTGAAGTCTTTCTGAGGATCTCTGGGGTTCAGGGTGGAGGTTCAGGGGTCTAGTGTGATCTAAAACCCTCTATGACTTAGGATTTAGGGCTCAGGGTAGGGTTCGGGGGTTTATGGGGTCAGTGTTTCTTTCTTGTGCAAGGGCATGAAGTCTTTCTGAGTTCTCTAGGACTTAAGATGTAGGGTTCAGGGGTTTAGGGGCTCAGACATGTTTTGTTTTAATGCTTTTTCCGTCGGCCTTGCAGAGTTGTCCTTCGGGTGGCTTTGGATGCAATGGGTTTGGGCTTTAGTGTTTCGGGGTTCGTTCAACATGAAAGAAGCCTGGCTCAGGTTTATGATGAGGATTCCGTAGAGATTTAGCAGGTCTATAAGGACACATAACGTCCTTGACTACGCTCTCTGATACTAAACCCACAATTCCCCCAAGGCCCTAGCAAAAAAACAAGATCCAGAACAAAACACAAAAAAAACAAACTCAAACGTACAGCCCATAGCACCCTCAAGCCTTGATAGGGCCCCTACAAAAACGGTGACATCCCTAACCCTACACCCTATAAAACCCTAACCGCCACAAACCCTAAACCCTGCTGTAAGCACTTACCCTAAGGGTCCATGTACCCAAATAGTATATACTTTGGCACAAATGTACCTATATAGGGCCTACTTTAAGGCCAAAGTATATACTATTTGGGCACATGGACCCTCAGGGTTATTGCCCGAAAGCATCAGCCAAGGGCGGCGCCACTCGCCCAGGAGGATCGCCCCCTCCAGCACACCGATGATCAGAGCAAATTGGTCCTTGGGTGGTTGAGGGTGTGGTGCTTAGTCGGGAATGGGGGAATGGATCCCTATAGTAGTCCCTATATAATCCCCAATATTAGTCCCCAGAATCCATTCCCCCATTCCCTACTAAGAACCAGACAGTTTAGGGTGTAGGGTTTAGGGTTGAGGCTTTAAAGTAGATGATCAAGGCAAACAGGTGCTTGGCTGCAAGACTAACAAACGAGGTCTAGGTATGTATATGGCTTGCTAGCAGGGCTTGGCTGGAACATGCTGGGGTACTGTGTAGGAGCTGGGGTCGATATGGATTTAGGGGGGTTGAGGTTTCGGTTTCGGTTTACTGGAGTGGAGCTTCGGGCTATGGTTTTGCGGTTGAGGGTTTAGGGTTTAGGGTAGATGATCTGTGTGTCCGTGGTCGCGGCTGAAGGCCTCTCAAAGTTCAAGGAGGTTTAGGCTTCGGGACTCCGGCTTCTTCTATCAGGTTTGAGTTTATGAGAGCTTGTAGTATCTTTTAACGTCTTGTTTTGAAGTTTACAGGCTTTTTTCAAGTTAGGGTGTAGGAGTTGTAGGGTGTGCGGCTTGCATAGTGTTCTCCGCTCGACATGGTGGTGTCCCTAGTTATTAGGTGATACCTATAGTCTCCATTGTAGTTCCTCTTTTGGTCAACCAGTCTTACGGTTAGGACCCTACAATAAAGATTTTGGTTAACCAGAAAAAGGAACTACAATGGAGACTATAGGTAACCCTCATGGACCCCTTCAGGCCAAAGCAGCGTCAACACCCGAAACTCTAGACCCCAAGCCCAAACCTCAAACCCATGGACCCCCACCTTAAGGACGAAATGAACCCTAAAAGGTTTTAAGGTTGTTTTCACCATTAAGGGATTCATAGCATGTGGGTATAGGGCTCCTACTTTTAAGAGTCATCTGGTCCTTCAGGCAGGGTACCACTTCTTGGGAGCCAAGTCAGACAGTCAGTAAAAGAGCTCAACAAATAAATGCCGAATGCTCGATTCATGGTTGAGGCGTTAGTGCAATGTAGGGGCCTTTATCATTGGAATAGGGTCTTGAGGCATATTATACTACACTTATAATATGGACCCCCCCAAAATAGTATAATAAGTATAATTATGAAGGCCCCTATATTAAGGCAGGGGGATCTCGGATACTGAACCCTCACACGGCCCGGCCTCAGGTAGCAGAATAGGGCTTAGGGTTTAGGGATACACTGTAGCATAAACGAAACATTCAGACGTGAGCAGAAAGTCCAGGGGGAGACATTCCTGTAACACCTTACAGATACCTCACCTGACATGGTAAAAAACTGCTTCGTATTTGTGTTTGAACCCCAGATCTCGCATATCTGCAAGCATGAACACGCGCGTACATAGTTGCCGCAACACGAAGATCTAATTATACAGAAACCTGCGAAACCCCGCACAGGCACCGCATGCACAATCTCCAGAATTCAACCCTCCACAACCTTGCAAATGCAGGCGGGATGCCATCAAAGTTTGCCGCACGGCGCCCACTCGTCGAAGGAGCAAAAACCTCATATCTTGGCTTCCCCAAGGGTCCAAAGGACCCAATAATTAGGTATTCGGTTTTAGGATAGTAGTTATGTAGGTTAGGATTTTGGAGAGCCTATGATTATTAGGTACTTGGACCCGGGGTTCACTGCCAGGATCATGTAAATTGCGTCGCCGATGATCACGTCATCCTTAATGGCTCAGTAACTCCCTACAAATGCGTAGTACTACACCGCACAATATCTCGTAATTACTGTAAAACACAAGTCTGTTGTGTACAAGGTCTAGAAAGTCGTGTAACAGGATATTTTTCAGTTAAGCTTAATGTTTTTCAAGACTACAGGTTCTTGCAATGCATTCGGCTCCCAGCGTACTGCGATTTCAAGTTCGCACTTCAGGGTCAAGTCCTGGAAAACAGCCTCCCAGTTCCGGCCCTTTCTACAGTTACCACGCCTCTGCAAAGCTTGCCGAAGAAAGCATGCGACACTTTTGCAGACAGATGAGCCGTTTGCTTCAAACAGGCCAAGGGGCTCTTCTTCTTATAGCTGCTTGAATCAATCAGCGCACAAAAGCTAGTCTTGAGAGTCCTCACATTAGTAGCATACCCCCTGAAGTAGCAGAGAAACTGCTCTGAACCAGCCGCAAAACCCGAATACTGATCCCGAAACCCTTAAGGCTCGAAATGGCCCGAAAGCCTTATATAATATAGTCTTTAGGCCCAAAAGCCTTGAAATACGAGTCCATAGAGCCTTGGGGTTTTCCTCAACTCTTGAGAAGCATTGAGAAAGCCAAACCGTCCCAGACCCAAGCTGCTGAAGCATGTAGACGACGCAGCCTGGACGAAGCTCACCCTAAGGGTCCATTGTACCCGAATGGGGTTCCTTTAGGGGTACCATCAGGGTTCCTTTAAGGGTTACTATACAGGCTCCATATAAGGGTTTAGGGTTTAAGGGTCCATGTACCCAACTAGTACATGATTTGGCCCCAAAGTAGTCAAAAAGGGCGTACTTTAAGGCCAAAGCATATACTATTTGGGCACATGGACCCTTGGGGTCAGTCAAGGACACTGTAGAGGGTTCTGAGTTCTGGGCGATACTTGCAGTTTTCTGCATACTGTATAGTGAACTCCGCGAACGTTGCTTTTGGTGGCGTTGAGGAAACCCTAAACCGACCTTAAGGACGAAATGAACCCTAAAAGAGTTTAAGGTTCCATATAGGGATCCATAGTAATATGGGTATAGTGCCCCTACCTTTACGGGTCATGTGGTCCTTCAGGGATTCGCGTTGGAATGTGATCTGGCACTTTCGGACGATACTCCGTCTTGAAGCATCCACAGAGGATGCTTCATTGTTGTCCTCCCCTGCAGCATCCTACATACGGTGCAACCGCCTTCGCTCTGGACGGAAAGATCTACCTCATTGCGGGCAACAGCCTGTCGTTCCGCAGGGTGCAGATTTTCGACATCTCCAGCAATCTTTGGAGCCAAGGGCCCGAGCTCCGCTGCCAGAGAGACCATGCTGCGGCCGCGGTCATCGGCAACACCATCTACGTGACGGGAGGCCTCGATGTCATCAGCCGCAAGTCCCTCAGTTCCATGGAGTGCTGGAGCCCTCAGAGCGCTGGGGTCTGGAGCTTGGGCCCGGACTCCGGGCAGCGCAGGTATCATCACGCAGCGGTGGAGCTCCAGGCACGCTCGTATTGCTGGGAGGCTGCGACAACGGCATCCTCGCCCACGTGCAGCGCTTCGACCCCGGCAGCCAGAGCTGGGAGGAGCTGCCGCCCATGCTGGAGCGGCGACAAGGCATGGCAGCGGCGGTGGTTTCAGGGAAGATCTACGCTGTGGCGGGCTATGGCAGCGACACCTCCCAACTCTCCAGCGTCGAAGTCTTCGATCCTGCAAAGAACAGCTGGAGCCCAGGCCCGAGCCTGAGCCGAGCCAGGACCGGCGACGCGGCAGCTGCTACAGGCATCCCGGCCTGCTGAGGACACCTTAAAGCCTTGGAAAACTTACCCTTGACACGAACTCTGCAAGCAACCCTTCAAGGAAGCCCTGAATCTTAAAGGGACCCCCTACTACTCAACAAAAAACTACAAGATCATGCACCGCAACTTAAGATAGAACAACTTAGCTGCTGAGTTCATAAGCCCCAAAAAGTGTACACTTGAGTTTTAGAGTGGATAATACTATCCCAGACAGTGTAAAGTGTATCCACTCAGCTACTAAGACAATTGCAACCTAAACCCAAACCCCTAAACCCTAAACGATAACAACAATAACCTTGAGGATCCAAGTACCCAAGTTGTTGATACCTGAAAAACCTGGTATTTGGGTACTTGGACCCTCTGGGCAATCTTCGATACTAAGACATTTTGACTTGTAGATAGACTATACCACAGCCTACTATAATACTAAGACATTTTGAGTACGGTTTTGGGGCCAACTATGCTGGAATTATCATAAAGAGCCCCAACATAGTATAGGTACTTATTAAGGCCCCTATATTATGAAACCCTACTAAAGATCCCTTTCTGAAAGGGATCTGAGTAAGTCCGAGCAGCTTCCGAAGAGGCCGAGCCCCAGGAGACAAAGCCACTGCTCTCCGCCGACGTCGGCGAGAAACTCCCAGCCTGGGCAGGGTTTTCCTTTTCTTGGGTTTAGGGGTTAGGGTGTCGGGTTTAGGGGCTAGGGTTTCGGGTTCAGGGTTTAAGGGTTTAGGTTTTTGGGGTTTAGGGCTTAGGGGGGTTTAGGGTTTGGTTTTAGAGTTTGGTTTCTTCCGGTATGATTGAATTTTCCAAACCGTGCACTCTGAACCTGAATTTACATGGCTTCGGATTCCTTTGGCCGTGCTGGGTTCAGGGCTCGCTCGCTGGTTTGCTTTTGAGGCGTCGGCGGCTTAGAGGGCTTGGGAGTCAGGGCTTAGGGGGTTTAGGGAGCACGGGTTTAGGATTTTGTCAATGGTAATTAGGACGGCTTGTGCTTCAAAGCAGCTTGTTCCTAAATCAGCGGGCTTGCCTGACGCTTAAACATCTGTGTTTGTTTGTGTTTTTCCGTCTAGATTTCCTGAAAACGGTAGAGTTTTTGACCGCTAGAGTAGGCTGAAGGGCGCAGGCTTTCATGTACTATCCAGCCTGGGTTGACTACCAAAGCACGGGGGCCCATCTCCGCCACTGCATCTGCAAATATACACACAAGACATGCGCATTTATATCAACTTGAACACAAGCATGTGAGAAGGCACACGGACATGCGCGCAGGCATGGAGCAGGCACAAGTTCGTACGTTCGTACGTATAGGTGGGTAAGCATGTATGTTACGTTTGTATGCTTCAAGTGGAACACATGTCCTGGCTGTCTGCGTCCGGCTACGTACAGGCAGCTTTAAGCAGCAGACCTGCAGTGAAACTGCTAACGCAGACCAGAAAACTCATGCTACTAGACCCCTAGAACACCTTCGAGCAGCTATTACGTACAAAGAACCTTTAAACGGGAACCCTCAAGTACCCCATAACATCCTTTAAAAGTACTAGCCCTGATAGGCTGACAGCAAGCCGGGGCGCCACCACCTTTGCTAAGGTGCCTGCGGATTTTCAAGAACGTGTTTCCTTGGGTGTACCGTAGAGGTCTGAGTCATTAACAATAGAATTCCTCAGCGATCCTTCTCATAGCTACAAACAATGCGCACACACACATATCTGTGTATGTATGCATGCATGCATGCATGTAGACATCCATCCATCCATCCATCCATACAAAGACATACACACATATGGTTTCATGTGATCTGCCGCAAAATCCAACTCCAAGTCTTAAGGACGTGTAATGCCTTAACATGAGACCCATTCCTTAAGGATCCTGAACATATGCCCAGTTCTGCTCAATATCGCCTTTGCATTGGCGGGTGGCTTCTTTTCTGCAGAATTTTCAGCTTGGCAGAGAATGGTGCAGGTAAGGTCTGGGGACCAGGATTTACAGTAAACTCTAAACCCTAAAACCTCATTTAGAGTTTGGGATTTACATCCCAAGTAGACTCAATTACCCCCACTCCGAAACCCTAACAACGAAACCCTACTCCACCCCCTGAATCCTAAACCACAGCCTTGACACGAAGTCTAAGTGTAGGGCTCAGGTAATAATTACACTGGCTAGAGAGCCCAGTAACTCTAGGCGGCTTGAATTTTGTGGTTCAGGGTATAGTATTGGGTAGGGCCTGGGAATACTAACGTATGTCTATCCTTTTTCCGGGGGAAGGAAACGCATGGAATCGCAAGTCAGCCTAGGTAACCAGAACCCTGCCCACCATCCGCAAGCCCTAACAACAATCAAGGACCCCAAATGTCAAGGCACTTAATCCCGGTGCACACGATTCTGAAGACCATCATATATTCTCCGACATAGACACCTCATTAAAAAACCTGGAAGACTTGTCAAAAAGGCTCTAGATTCTCAAAACCCTTAAACTGCCTTATAAACCCTATAAAACCCATAGAACACTTACAGCATCCCCTATAGTAGCCCTTAACAGGAACCCTTAAAAAGAGAATCCCCTGGAATCCTCATAGCGCCCCCCTGGCCTGGGATCGAGGAAACTCGGTGTCAAGCCACGAAAGTCCAGCGCAAGAGAGAGGATGGTCTCGGCTTCTCTCAGGGTTTAGGGTTTAGGGCTTGGGGTTTAGGGTTTAGGGTTTAGGGTTCAGGGTTTGGGGTTTAGGGTTTAGGGTTACTATAAAGGGTACAATAAGGGTTCCTTTAAATTACTCTATAGGTCTGGGCTTCTCTCAGATTTGGGTGCAGGGCTTCAGTTACCCTGGGGTTCTAAGGACTCATATGGGTGGTTGTCAATATTATGGTCCCTCTGTGGGTCCTTATTATAATACGGCACATAATATTTAGGGTACCCCAAAACGGACCATCATTTTGACAACTACCCATATATTAAGGCTTTTGGGCCCACACACCATACTATATAAGGCTTCTCTCAGACTTGGGAGTTTCCGAAAACTGGTAGTACTTTAGTTGGGATTCTTATAATGAGGATCCTACCAGAGTCTCATTTGCGCAGGGCTTCAGTTAGGGGTTGAGGATATAGGGGTTTGGGGCATAGGGCTTACGGAAGATGTAAGGTTTAGGGCTTAATTATGGAATTCAGGGTCTCGGGCTTTGGGGTTTAGGGCTCAGGGTTCACGATCCAGGGGTTTGGGCATTCGGGCTCAGGGTTCAGGATCTAGGGCTTTGGGATTTAAGGCTTACCTGAAGGACCAAAATGAGCCTTAAAAGAAGGGGCCCTATACCCACGTACTATGAAACCCTATATGGTCTATGAGCCTTAAACCCTTTTAGGGTCCATCTCGTCCTTAAGGTTCACGATCTAGGGGTTTTTGCGTTTGGGGCTAAGGGATCGGGATCTCGGGGTTTGGGGTTTAGGGCTTCAGGGCTTAAAGTCTAAAGGGTTTTCGGGTCTAGGGTTCAGGGTCTGGGGTTTAGGGGTTTAGGGTTTAGGGTTTAGGGTTTAGGGGTTTAGGGTTTAGGGTTTAGGGTTCAGGGTCTGGGGTTTAGGGGTTTAGGGTTTAGGGGTTTTGGCGCTTTAAGGGTTCAAGGTCTAGGGTTTTCAGACGTAGGGCCGAGTGTTTCGGGTTTAGAGCTTTAGGGGTTTTTAGGTTTGGGGGTAAGGAAACTGAAAAGACCTCCTCAAACAATGAATGGGCCTTAATAACTAGAGTGAAAGGGGTTTTGGGGCCATTATGGTGTAGTTATACTAAGGAATCCCCAAAACAGTCTTGGTAATTATTTACGCCGTTATAGTAGAGACCTTTACTCTTGGAGCCTGTGGCTGGCTGCGATTCTTTGGGTTTGGGGTTTAAGGCTTCGAGCTTCAGGCCTAACTAACTAATCTCCAAGTATGCAGTTAATGCCTACTTAGCTCGGTGCCTACAGCCCGTAGATAAAACCTACCTGACACCAGGTTATTCAAGCCAAAACTTTTGGTGGGGGGGAGAGCCTGACACTAATCGGGCCATCACGTTCAACCCTAGACCTTAAAATCCTAAAGCCCTATAGATCCCTGAAAGGAGCCCCCGAAACCCTAAACCCCCGAAACAAAACCACCTCGAAGGAAGCCCAGCGGCTGCGACGAGCGCTCCAAACGTCGCCTGGACCAAGGCCTGAAGAAGCGAGGAAAATCCCGGGTTCCCCTCAAGGGCTCCTTTAGAGGGATCTCTAAGAATCCCTTTAAAGGAATCCTTTAAGGGCTCTTTTAGAGGGATCTCTAAGAATCCCTTAAAGGAATCCTTTAAGGGCTCCTTTAGAGGGATCTCTAAGAATCCCTTAAAGGAATCCTTTAAGAGCTCTTTTAGAGGGATGTCTAGGAATCCCCCAGGGGATCCTTTAAGGGCTCCTTTGAAAGGATCTCTAGGATTCCCTTTAAGGGATCCTTGAAGGGCTCCTTTAAAAGGATCTCTAGGACTCTAGGAATCCTTTAAGGGCTCTTTGAAGGAAGTTCATCGAACTACCTGTAGATGACACTTTTATAGAAACCTTTATGGATACCCTTATAGACCCCTTTAACACCTAAAAAAAAAGACCACAATTTAGGCTTGGCTCTGAAAAATATTCGTAAATAGGGTCCTATTTAGCCCAATAAGGGGAAATATAAAATATCCCAAAGTCCTGCCTCGTCGAGAACCAGCCATATCGTCCAGCAAGCCTGAACCTAGCCTCGGCTCGTGGCTTGGATCCCTTCAGACCTGGCACTCTACACCCAAAGGGATCTGTATAGGGGTCCTTTGAAGGCTTAGTTGCGAAGTTCATATGCCCCCCAAAGTGTACACTTTAGCTTTAGAGTGGGTAATACTATCCCAAAAAGTGTAAAGTGTATCCACTCTGCTACTAAGAAGGGGCCTTAAAGATAGGGGTCCTTTTAAAATAGTAGGGCTTTTCTGTGCGGTGCCTAGTATGGAATGGGGGAATGGATGCTTGAAGTAGCCCCTAATATAATCCCCGATAGTAGTCTCCGTAATCCATTCCCCCATTCCCCACTAAGAACCAGGCAGAGGATTTAGGGCTTTAGGGGTTCAGGGCTTCGTCTAAGGATCCAGCCACGAAAACGGACCCCTATTCTCGCAAGAAGCCCTAGACTAGCCTGTTCAGTAACCCACTGGGAAAAGTATATACTTTTTAGGCTTCCTATTTTATAATAGGAACCCAGAAACCTGAAAGTAAAAAAGTGTACCACTGAACAGCCTGGCAGATCCTGAAACAAGAAGGTCATCCCACTGTTGCTATAGGGACCCGATCAGCCTGAATGCGCACCCCTGTGCACCTACCCAGACCCCCAGGAGGATCGAGAAATTAGATCCCCTAATTTGGGGGCCCTATGCTACTAAGGGTACTTTATAGGAAACCCCCATTAAGGGATCTACTTTTTGGATCCTCCCGCGGGTCATTTGAGTTCATGGTTCCGGTCCCAAAAAAACCCTGCATTCCCAATGCTCCATCCTCCTCGGATATCTATCCAAACTTGAAGCCCTAAATGCTCTTCTTGCCCTCCAAGCCCCTCAAAACCAAAACCCTAAATACCTAAACCGAAGTCCGCTAAGCCCACTAAAACCTGAATGTCCAGTCCGAAATGTCCGAAAACCTCACTACACCGAAAGCCCAGAAAACCCCATCAGCAGCCTGCAGCATCACGGATGCCTTCACCTGGCCGCAGGGACGGAAGTGAGCATTGTCTTGCGGGGGGAGTGGATGGGGGGAGGGTGAAGCTGCGAATGAGAATCTCTAAACCCTGAACTTAAACCGTAAACCCTAAACCCTCCCATAAGCTAAACCACCCTCAATCCATAGCCGCCCTCTTCCCTCTTCCCATAAACCCTAATCCCTCGCATAAACTAAACCACCCTAAGCCCAGCCGCCCGAATCCCTATTCAATAATTCCAGCAATGGGGGTCTGCTTACTTGGAGGTTCATGGGTAGTTCTAAGTGGGCTTATAAGTCCCCTAATAAGGGTCGTAAGTATAGTTACCTTACTTATAACCCCACCTATAACTACCCATGAACCTCCAAGTACGGGAAGGAAGGATGTTCGGAGCAACAGAGCTTCGAGCCAATGGGTGGGTGGGATTCAGGGTTTAGGGTTTTGGGGTGCAGGACTGTTCCTTAAGGACGACATGAACCCCAAAAGGATTTAAGGCTCATATACCGTATCGGGATTTATAGTATATACGGGTATAGGGCCCCTACTTTTAAGGCTCATTTGGTTCTTCAGGTGTCGGCCTTTGGTGCTCATCACTTCAGGGCTTAACGTTTAGGGGTTATGCACGCTCTGCTATGGCGATCCACCCTCCCGCTCCCCCTTAGCCACTGGCAGGGAAGCTTAAATCAAATGGGGACCCCCTACCCTATAATGGGCTATAAAATGGGTATTTAATAGCATATATTCAGGGTATGTACCTAGGGGTCCTTATTGAGGCTCCCTCAATTTGCCCTTGGATTAAAGTCCTTTGTCGGGTTTAGGGTTTAGGCTGTAACAACTTCCATTTTAAGAGCCCAGAACCCCTGAAGAGCTACACAACCGCTACAAGGCCGCAAGCCCCGTGAGCCTTGTATACATAGCGGCCTTGATAAGAATAGGATTCATTTGCACAAGGATTCTGGGAGAGTTCCTAGACACGGGTTACCAAAAGCGCAGCAAAACCGGCTGAATACGTCCTGGGTTTTACTACTATACATGCGGATACACTTACAAATTGCTCCGGGTCCGCCCTATAGTAGAGAGCCAAGCCTAATCTCTTTAAAGCCTCAAACCTGAAGCCCGAAACCCTAAAACCTTATAATCCGAAAACCTTACAGCCCCAAACCTTCAACGCTGAATCCGAGAACCTTGACAAGCCCCAGAACCCAAAGCTTAAGGACGAAATGAACCCTAAAAGGGTTTAAGGTTCATATGCCATATATTATATGGATTCATAGTATATGGGTATAGTGCCCTAACTTTTAAGGGTCATTTGGTCCTTCAGGAAACCCCAAACCCTAAAACCTGAAGAACCTACCTTTTTGAGGACTTGTATAAGGAAATCATATTCGGAAACCCGACAAGGAAGGTTCTTCAGGGTCCAGGTAAACCCTATGAACACAAAAAGCCTTCTACACTTAAACCCTAAACCCTATAAGCCCCCATAAACCCTAAACCCTATAAGCCCCCATAAACCCTAAACTCCCTAAACCCTAAACCCTATAAACACCATAAACCCTTTTCAACCTCAGACGCAGTAGCACCTCAGGTCGCCAGTTGTAGTACTGAGCCAATGTGGCCGCAGAGGCCTGGCCATGTAGGGTTTAGGGTTCTAGGGGTTTAGGGTTTTTGGGGTTTAGAGTTTAGGGGTTTAGGGTATTAGGGCTTGGGTTTAGGGTTTAGGTGAATGATCCCCGAGAGCCCAACATCCCTTAATTAAGCAATATCCCTGAAATTATCAGGGCTTCATTGTGATTTAAGCTAAATTCCTTAACTAAGGGGTGTTATGAACCCAAAGGCTCCATGTACCTTTATAGCAGATACTCGAGCCTTAAAGGGGTCCATATAGGGGTACTTCAAGGCCTAAGTATATACTATATGGGTACAGAGCATTAGGGGAACGATGCTGCTGAGACTGAAAGGGCAGATATTATCCCAAAAAGGTGTAAAGTGTATCCACTCAGCTACTAAGTTATTTGTGCAATCTTGCCGGCGGGACACAGGCAAGGACACATGAGTTTTAGATGACCCCAAGAGTCCAAGTAATAGTGTAGTGTAGAAAATACTTTGGGCTTGCCGAAATACCACGAATTAGCAACTTCATTGGTGCTTGCGCCATTTGGGTGTCGTAGAATTCACATTAATAAAGCCTTCCTCGCCAGCCAGAGATGTGCCTTCCGTGCCCCAGGTAGGGCTTCAGGGTCTTACCGCATCCCTTGTGGGCTTCCTTGAAGGGTTCCATAATGCCCAGTATATACTTTCGCCCCCCAACGTACTTATATTGGGCTTCTTTAGGGCCAAAGTATAGGTTATATGAGTACTTGGACCCTTAGGGTAAGGTTTTATGAGGGTTCCTTGAAACTGACCCTTAAGTTGGTTCAGGGCAGCCTAGGGCCCAGCCCAGTTTAGGGCCGTTGAAGGCTTCTCAAGAACAAACCTTGCCCTAATGCTCTCCAATATAACTCATCCTTTTAAGCCTTTGCGGTTTAGGATTTAGGGCTTAGGGTTTAGGGTACATAATGTAGTCTACAAGCCCTCTGCACTACTTTGAGCCGTGAGGGACAATAGCTCGGAGGGGATGGGAGCTTAGGGTGTAAGGGGTTACCAGGACCCTATCAAACCTTCCCCTCTAAGGTTCCCACTCATGATTTCCTTATATAACTTCCCCTATAGGTTCCCTATCATGATTTCCTTATATAAGTCCTTATAACGTTACGTTGTTTGGTGTCCAGGTGCCCTAAACCCTAAACAATGAACCCTACAGGGTTGGCGCCTTGCAGATGACCCCCGCGATCTGCAACACGACCCCGAGCGCGCTGCCGCCTCACGAAGCCCTAAGGATCCATGTAGCCAAATAGCATATACTTTGGCCGCAATGTACCTATATAGGGAGTACTTCATGGCCAAAGTATATATTATTTGGGTACATGGACGCTTGGGGAATTCTAAACATAAAAATAATGGGGCCGTGGTGACGCCGTAGTGGTTGGAATAGGGTTCCTCTTCAAAAGGTTCGGAAACAGGGGCTGTGGCTATGAGGGCGTAACTAGCTAACACAGGGGCCTTATAATGATTGCAATTTGGTGTTACAGAGTTTGAGATTAACAAGCTTATAGGGGCTATTTGATTGCGAGGTCTGTGTCCTGTGCCGTTTTCGGCGCCAACTTCAGCCTCCCGAGTCCTTTGCAGAGGTGTTGATCTCTTTCCTTCGGTTGATGCTACAAATCCTGCATTACCTTAAGGACCCGATGCTTTGGGAATTATGGTATATTCCCTGTTATGGGTAATGCAGGATTTATATCATCAACAGTTGTTCATTCCTGCTGCTTCGTCTTGAGCTTCTCTTCAATCTCTCGCTTTTCCTTGAGGGGACTGCTCCCTCGTCATCACATTTCACGAGCTCCTTCCGGGAGCTGAGACCCAGAGACTCAAATATCCCTCAGTTCAGGAATCTACCTTCATTTCTAGTGGTAGGATCCCTAATATGAAACTAAGCAATATTCTTCAATTGAGGGATATTGGAGTCTCTGTGGATATGCAGGCCGAAGAGCCTCCATCTCGGCTCGAACCTTGGCCTCAACGATTAGAATGGGGGTTGGGGGTCTGCAATCGCCACCTTAGTATAAACGTATGGTTAGTGGATATGTGTAGTAAGCATCAGGGGTCTTTTTGGGCTCAATGACTCCAGTCGTTAGGCGTTCGGGTCTACGATAACTAATCATAGATCGACAGTCGGCTAAGTGCTTACAGTTTAAAGGATTTCTTAAGGAGTTCTGTAAAGCTTGTATAAAGTGGGGTGCCATAAGTTCCACAGCACAGTGTTTAGGGTTTAGATGGGTTTGGTGACAGTGAGTTTAGGGCTTTCGGAAGTGAGGATGAGGGTTTCAAAGAACCCTTAGGCGTTTAGGGGGTCCTGATACTTTTGGAAAAACTTTCCTGCGAACTCTACAGGTCCTAGGAAGAAAGGTTGGCTTCCTTTCAGGTTGCTTCGGGGATCAACGTCATCAATGGAAACTACCTTCAAAAAGGAACCGATGAAGGAACCCTCAAAGGAGCCCGTATACTGCAAACCCTTCTGGATCCCCCAACGATTGTTACAAGCATGCCTTACGACATACTTAAGGGTTTGAGGGTTTGGGGGTTTGGGGTGGGTTTACTTAGGGTTTAAGATGGTTCAGGGTTTTGGATTTAGGATGGTTTTGGGTTTAAGGTGTGAGTTCAGGGTTTCCTCGAAACAACCTCCGAGTCCTTTTGGGGGTGTGGCTTCTGCGCAGGCTTCTTAAGGTGGCTCATAAGTCTTCGCTGCAGGGCTTCACAGAACAGGTATGGCTTGGGGTTAGTTAGGGCTTGGAGGCTGAGGGTCTATAAAGTCTTTCTTTTTTTGGGGTTTCTATTGACTATATGGGTGGTTGTCAAAATCAGGGTTCCTTTTTGGGCACCCTAAATACTAAGTGCCTTACTATATAGTAGGGTCCCAATTAAAAAATTAGAAAGGGACCCTAATTATGACAACCAGCCATATAAACCATAACACCTTAAACCTCCGGAACCTAAACCTCAAACCCAAGCTCCGAAAAGAGCTATCACGCCGGCTAGCAAACGGGAGTTGGAGGCCCGACAACAAGGCACTACCCCCAAGGGTCCAAGTACCTAATAATCCTAACCGACATAACTACTATCCTAAAACCGAGTACCTAATTATTGAGTCCTTTGGACCCTTGGGCTACTATGCAGAGTTGTAACACCCTGGCAACAAGCCCATGCTTTTTCGGGTTCGTCATGTTGAAGCAGGAAGACATAAACTACAAACTAAAAGTATACCACTGAACAACTTAGCATACCAGGATAAAACTCTTGTTGTCTACGATTTGCGGCTTAGGCTACTGTAAGGGTAAGAGTTTAGGCAGTTCTACCTTAACCCTGAAGAACCTACTTTTTGAGGACTTTTGTAGGGGAATCATAATAGGGAACCCTAGAAATTTTAGGTTCTTCAGGGTCAAGGTAAACCCTATAAACACAGAAACCAAAACAAACTCTAAACTTAAACCCTAAACCCTGTAAGCCCTATAAGCCCTAAACCCTATAAGCCCTAAGGGTTAGAGTTTAGGCAGTTCTAGATTACAAACCACCCCCGGCCTGCCTGACCAGGCTCCATGGCGTGAGACGATGGTCAGAACCTTGGCCGTGCAAAGATGCAGTCCTCTGTCTGGTGCTTAGCAGGGAATGGGGGAAGGGATCCCTATGATTAGTAGTCCCTATATAATCTCCAATTGTAGACTGAACTTAGAACCCTAGCAACAATTATAATTTCAGCTGTTTCTTAGAGATTATAATAACCAAAAATTACAAGATATTTCTAAGTACACCTTAGTAGTGGGATCTCAGACCCCAATAGGGCCCCACAAACATCTCTCATGCTGCCTGGGGGTTTGAGTTTAGGGTTTGGGGGTTTAGGGTTTAGGGTAAATCCTGAACCTTGAAACGCCAGAACCCAAGCATGTACTGACTCCTGGGGAGCCCTCAGACTAACCTAGGTGGGGCTTTTAAAGCCTTTGAAAATATTAGTAAATAAGATCCTCTTAAACCCAATAAGGGAAAATATAAAATGTCCCAAAGCCCTACCTACTAACTGCCAAAGGCCAAAAGTGTGGTGACGACAGACTGCAGCGACTCTCAAAAATGCTATCCCGAAGGGTCCAAGAGGTCCTGATTTGTGGGTTTTGGTGCCCAAAAGGCCCCAAAGTCCTATAATCAGGAATACTTGGACACTTCGATCATATGGTGTTTGGCATGCGGGTTAGGGTTGGGTGGGCTCAGAGAGCCGGGTGGGTTTAGGCTTTCGTGTGGAGGGTTCGAGGTTCGAGCAACGATAGAATCAACAACAGCGACGTTCCTCAACATACAGACTTCAAATCGAAACAAAGTGGAGAGCGAATTTAGGCCTTGCTACAAGAGATGTTGGGTCATGTTGTACTAAGACTATACTCGTATAGCGACAATAGGGCGATCCTGTTACTAAGCATCTGGCGAGACTAGACAAGAGGTGCTCACATTGTCACAGTGATCGCACAAAAAGGCAAGAACCTGAATGAACACATATTTGGACAAATGATCGATCCAAAGAGTAACTGGTCCGGGCCAGTTTGGAGAATAAGATGTGAAATCTTCAGAACTAACCGTACACTGGTGGACCACGTTTTGATCTTCTACGATCCTGACTGAACCATAAAACAAGATATCAAGGAAAGGTAATGCCGTTCAGCCCTGGATAATACCATTCGTGCTGTCAGAGGTTAGAGCAATGCTTGCACGCGTCCAACTAGGGGATTTTCACTTGAGCACACGTTCCGCGGTTTCCTTAGTGTCAATTGACGACACTTCATGGTTTACAGTGAGCACCAGAAAGTTGGAACATAGATTCAGGATGATTCATGCCGGGATTCCCTATACTTTACTTTACGGCCATGAGGCTAATGATGTTCCAACTTTCTGGCTTCTGCTGTGCGGGATTAGGGAGAAATTTAGATTGAAGGTTCCTGATTGACAGTTTCAATGGGCCAGCAGTTAATCCTATCCATTCCTATCCATCTCCGGTAACCATAGGTAACGTAGGGGCCTCAATAACTTCAGCAAAGCTTTGGTGAATACTGTTGTATGAGATGTACACTTAATAGAAGATATTATCTTGCTATTCAGTCCTCCTTTTTGTGCAACTGCTTGTACTGTTTGTTCATCGAAGCTGTCCTGACCCTAAGGGTCCACGTACCCAAGTAGTATATACTTTGGCCCCAATGTACCTAGAAAGGGAGTATTTTAAGGCCAAAGTATATACTGTTTGGGTACATGGACCCTTAGGGTGAGTTAAATTAGCTCTCGCCGCTGGAGTCAAGCACGCCTTGCAGGCCAAGGCTGTCGAACGGCCAGAGAGCATCGACACCAACATTACCAAAAAGACAAGGGCCGTAATAAAGGATGCCCAGTAACCTAGGAATAAAAATGGCTCCCTTTTTGGTATTGGGTAACTTTACTAGGAACCTCGGGACTACAAAAAAGGGAAAAAGGGCCCACTGGGAGGCCTGGTAATACAAGGGGTCAGGAGTTAAGGGCTTTGGGGTTTAAGGGCTTTGGGGTTTGAGTTTGGGGTCTAAGGTATATAGGGGTTTCACCAATCAATGGCTGGAACCAAAGCGATAAAGACCCGAACACCAATTGTTTACCAAGCCTCGTGCAGATACCAGCAATGATCCAGAGCTCGCAGCAGACTAACAAACTACCGATGCGGTAATTCTCCAAACTAGGGTCCCTCGCTGAGGCCCCAAAAAAATATCACACTGAGCATGCAGGGTTTTGGGCTTCCGTCTTCATCCCGAAGTAAACTGACCATAGGGTGATTCAGGGTTTAAACCAAACCTTGGCCTTTAGTCTCGTCACAAATGCGGGAGGGAGGATATAAAGGACGGCATATTCTTTCCAACTGTCTGCCATCCCAAGTTTCGAGGTTTCGGGCCACGGTTTGGGGTAGAAAGTAAGCAACAGAAGCTGGAGACCCCCTAATAGCGTATTCATACATTATTCACAAGTCAAAAATGAAATCAAACCTGCGAATCAATTCGGAGTACCACTATCCCAAGTGCTTTTGGCGGCCGTCGGCAGTGGCTCTAGCCTCTAGCGATGAAAACCCAGATCAGGGTCTCTGCAACGAGGCGAGGCTGTGCGCCAGACGACGCCGGGTGCTGTTTCACATGGTATCCCTATCGGCCAAAGGCTACAACCTGAAGGACCAAATGACCCTTAAAAGTAGGGGCCCTATGCCCATATATTATGAATCCCTACATGGTATATGAGCCTTAAACATTTCTAGGGTTCATTCCGTCCTCAAGGAATGGGTGCTGAAGTGAATAGCATCTGCGGGCATCCTGTTGATAAGTGGATCCTCTTACCAGGCTCCCTCATACTTAAAGTAAACCGTAAACCCTGGCCCGAAAAAGCTTGAACCCTAACTTCAAGTACAACTAGCCTTGGGCACCTTGCACCACTCAGCTGAAGAACCCTACACCATCCTAGACCTAGTTCCCCAGCAATTATCCAACCTACAATCCCTAAGGGTCTATGTACAGAAATAGTATTTAATTTGGCCCCAATGTACCTATATATTGAGTACTTTAAGGCCAAAGGATATACCATCTGGGTACATGGACCCTTAGGGAATGATCCTTGAGAGTTTCGAGCTGGGTTGGCTCAGGTCTGGGCTTGCATAAGGAACCCCTCCTCTGTTCACAACAAGGCAGCCTCGAAATAAGCGGTACTTACCGTGGACGAACCTGAAGAACCAAATGACTCTTAAACGTAGGGGCCTTACACCCATGGTTACCCATGTACTATGAACCCCTGTATGGTATATGTGGGCGGTTGTCAACATTAGGGTCCCTTTTTGGGTCCTTAGTATAGTACGGCACCTAATATTTAGGGCACCCCAAAAAAGGACCCTAATTTTGACAACCACCCATATGTATGAACCATAAGGAACCTAAGATGTCCTTCCCAAGCCCAAGAAACCCCTCCATCAACCCGAAACCCAAACCCCTGACAGCTGAATCCTGGGGGTCCTTAAAGGGATCCTTCATAAGGGTTCCATCAGGGATCTATAGGGTTCAGGGCTGCATCTGATCGCTTTGGGGTTAGGGTTTTAGGTTCTGGGGTTTAGGGCTTTACGGGTCAACGGCTTTGCGGGCTGAGGGTGTTTTAGGGCTTATGCTTCAGCGTTTTAGCATTTGGGGATCTTAAGGTTTAGAGATAACGACCTGCCAATTTAGGGCTGTGGTCCTTCGTGCGTGAGCGGCTTATGGCTTCATGAAAGTTCTGGGTGTAGGTTCAAGGGTCATATCATGCCATAGCCTAGAACGTAAAAGTCGCGTGAAGCAGTCAAGTATGCAAGCACCAACAGCACATATCCATTTGTACACATGCAGAAGCACGAAAAAGTATGACGACGGCATCACCAAGCGATCCACCCAAGCACTGTGCACTTGCTGACGATTGGGGTGTACCTAGATCAGCCGGTGTACCCTAATGTTGCCCCCTATAGTAAAAGCCAGAAAGTTGGAATATGATTATCCTAAACCCCTTATGGTAAGTTATAGGGTATCCTACCCTGAAACCATATTCCAACTTTCTGGAGTTCCCTTTAATGAGTCAACCCTGTTCTTTGAGGGCCTCATTAATGGAGACCATGCCATGAACCCCCACCCTAACGTAAACTCCAAACCCCAGAAGCCCTAATACCTGAAGGACCAAACGACCCTTAAAAGTAGGGGCCCTATACCCTTCTACTATGAATCCCTATATGGTATATGAACCTTAAACCCTTTTAGGGTCCATTTCGTCCTTAAGCTATTGTCTTGGTGCGAGACGAGTCTGAATTCTTAATAGACTGGCAATGGCGTTCCCTTACATCCCATAGTTTAGTAGAGTCATGATACTCCAACGACCTACTCTGACCGGCAAGGACCAAAACGAGCGAGGCCACACTTATCTATAAAGTGCAGGTGTTCCTTCAAGGGTTCCCATAAGGGAACTACTATGCTCAGAGAAGAAACCAAAACAAACCCTTTTCGAAGGCTCTGAGCATGCTGATAGAAACCTGAATCTTAAACAAAGCCTCATTCTAGGTATTATAGGGCCCCAGAAAGCCACATAAGCAAAAATAAGGATATGGGTACCTCGTTCAAACCCCCTAAATGATAATGAAGCCCAATATGGTAGGGACCTCCCTATAAAATGCTTATGCTTCCGTGCTTTTGGGGTCCCTAATACTAAGGCCGTGAGGCTACCATGTGAGCAAGTTGAGGATGCACCCCCTGTGCTGCACGAAATGCAGCGGTAAAACAGCGTCAGCAGAAGACCCTGACCGCCAACATTCAAAAATGCTCCTTCAAGAGTTGCGCCTGACTTAAGGTGTTGGTTGAAAGGCTTATACCATACAGGGATCCATACGGTTGATGATATAAATCCTGGATTACTTTAAGGACCCTGAACTATGCGAATAATGGTATTATATTCCTTATTATGGGTAATGCAGGATTTATATCATCAACCGTAGATTCCCTAAGGCTCCATGTGCCCATATGGGGGGGTTGTCAAAATTGCGGTCCTTTTTTGGAGTTCCTAAAATAGTACG